GGCCGAGCCACTTTGAAGTGGTTGGCGTTTTCCGCTCTTCTGGTTTGGTCTTCGGCGCCCAGATTAGGTAGGACTTTGGTGGTTCTTTGGCTATGTCCTCCTTCTTCATGTCTTGCACCTTTTGTACTAAGGCGCGCCCGCGTGTAGCACGTGTGTAACGCTTTTGGATGCGCTCCTCGAGAGTTGAACGGGTCCTTTTAACACGGACCCGTTCATTGGCTGATTGCTTGGAGGGGATGTCAGCATGTTGCCATTGAGGCGGTTGGATTACCTGATGCTTCCTAAACTCCAGATCCGCGTGATAACAGATTCCGTCAACCAGCTCCAAGGCCTTGGCAAGCTAACGTGCGAGGCGTTAGTGTTGCCTTTGACGAGCCCTCTTTGTCAGAATTGGCACACCTTTGTTAAACAACTCATGGACTGAATATGAGTCGTTGTGATCTAGAATCTCGGCTTCATTGGATGCCGGAGGAGCATTACAAGGGGATGCCTCAGTAATAATTGGGCGAGAGTTACCCTGAGATTTCTTTGCTGCTGATATCTTCCTGTACTCATGGGACGAGGAAGATCTTGATGAGAATGAGGAGAGATATTCCTCAAACTTGGCTTGGTCGAACTCGTACTCGACCTCTACATCAACCGGGAACTTGATCCTTGGTTGCGACACGATAGCCTTGGCAGAAAAGCTGTTGGCTCCCACTATAGTCGCCAGTGTATTTGCATCGAAAATTAGTTTATTCATAAAACTCATTACAACTTTAATTGTTTACAACAAGTTCAAAAAAGTTAGTCTTTTTATAAGACTTTTCTTACACGAATAAAAAAATTAAAAATATAACTCTCTAGAAATACACGTAGAGGACGTTTGTCACCCGCTCCTTGCGTGTAATCTTTGCCTATGCCGGGGACACGTTAGTCCGTGGACCACCGCAGATCAGATCCGGTTGATAGAACGAAATTTAAATGCTCTTGCTTCACAAAGGAAACAGTCGTAGAAGTGATAATCTCAACCAAGTGAGATTACGACTCTTCTCGAGATCAAAACAAAGTCTGATCTCAAGGAATGATGAAACAGACCTCATATCCTTCGAATAGCTCTCTCTTTATACTGAAGTTCGCCAAGATCTGCTAGCCCTCCTCTGAAACTCACGATTCACTCTCCAATTTGACATCACCTCGTCTTAATTTTAGGTCCTCCATGTATAGGGGCCTTAGGCTTGTATTTATAGGCTTCGAATACAGTGTTTTAGGATAGAAATTGATGATTTGACCTTATCCTCAGTTAATAACCGCTTAACCACATTTAAAGATGATATCAAAGCAGTTGGGGAGGCTCTAGAACAAAAAATCCTGAGAAAACTATCGAAAACGCGTTTCGGGCGTTTCTGGGGGCGAGTTATCCTAAGCTGGCTCGGCACTGTGAAAGCCACCTAGCCTCAGCCGAGTCGTTTTGATGTGACTCGGCTGCCAGGGGCCTAAGCTGGCTCGGCACTGTGAAAGCCACCTAGCCTCAGCCGAGTCGTTTTGATGTGACTCGGCTGCTAGGGTCTTCTCCGGACTTTCCAGTTTGGTCTTGTTCCGTCGTTTTCTGCATTTCGTCGTTTCGTTGACTCATACACTTTATTGACTTGCTTCATACACTCGTTAGCTCTTTTACGGCACAGATAATCCTCTCTGACTCGGATAATAGCATTCATCAGATTCTCTCCATTTCGAAGTTCGAACTATGTGCGGGAACCTATAAGCAATTTTGGACGCCTACACGATCGATCGCAGCGGTCGACCGCTAGACCCTGTAGTGAATTTTGGTTTCTGTCGATTGGTTACGGTCGACCGCCGCGGTCGCCCGCCAAACCCTGTAATGGATTTTTGTTTCTGTCGTTTGTGGCAGTCGACCGTGGGACTTGGTCGCGGTCGACCGCGATTCATACTGGGCATTGGGCTTTGTTTCCTGTTTGTTTTGGGATTGTGTTTTTGGTATATATTGAAACACGATTTTTTAGGGTTTCTAATCAGGGATTAGAGAGTGTTCTGAGCACATTGAGAGAGAGAATTTGTGAGAAAGTTGAGAGATCTTTTGGTTGGGTTAGTTTGAGTGTTTGAGAGATTTGTAACCCTTTGTACTCTCCTTGATTTAGTGGAATCTTCCCATCCTCTCCCTGTGGACGTAGGCAAATTGCCGAAACACGTATATCTTTGTGTTTGTGATTGGTTTGTCGTATTTTGGATTGGATTGCAATTGTATTTGGTTTGGTAATCTTCTCTTGTGTCCCACGAACTCGTTCGGTGTGCGAGCACGCTTCCGCAAAGGCGCGCAACAATCTCATGGGAAAAAATGTGTATGCCAAAAGAAGCTAGTACCCTATGGTTGATCTAGGCAGAGGTATGGAATAAAATTGCAATGGTAAAAATCCTTTGGGCAATCCATATGAAACAAGATGTATTATGGATTAAATGGCTTCATGAATTCTACCTAAAAAGCTTATTCTATTTGGGAAGTGAAAGCTAGAGTAGTTGACTTATGGTTCTGGAAGAAAATTCTAAGCATCAGGGATTGGTTAATTGGTAAAAGTGGATCTGTTGATGCTGTGCTGGTGAACTTTGATAATTGGACTTGTGCTGGTAAGTTCTCTATGACTAAAGCTCTTCATTATCTACACTATAGAGATCTTCCTCCTGTCTTGTGGTATGGCATTGTTTGGAAAGGGCCGGATTGCTGTTCTTAGGCATTCCTTTATTATGTGGATTCCTATGTGGGGGAGATTATTGACTCAAAGTAGACTTATGCATCTTAATATAGTTCGTGAGAGCAAGTGTATCTTGTGTTATCATGGGCATGAGGACTTGGCTCACATGTTTTTCCAATGTCACTTCTCTGCTTTGGTGTGGAAGAAAATACTTTCTTGGCTTTGCATTGATAGGGATCCTTTACCATTTCCTGAGGAGATTGCTTGGTTTATAGCTCATGCTAAAGGTAGAGCTATCGAAAAGAAGAAGGTTGTATGTGATGCTTTTGCTGCTGCTTTGTATCAACTTTGAAGAGAAAGGAATGTTAGAGAAGATTTCACTCCTCAGTTAGCAGAGTCAATACTATTGTGAAGAGGATACAGATTGATGTTATTGCGAGAGTGTTAAAGAGTAACGTTTCGATCTCCACAAGTTCAGTTTTTTGGATTTCAAATTTATAAACTTTTTGAGGTTTTGGAAGAGATTTTGTTATTTTTTTGTTCTGAGAGTTTCTTTGCTTAGAGGTTGTATAGTGCAATTGGGTACGACCCAGTTTGAGCTTTGCTACAGGGACCAAAATATGAGACCAATAGAAGGGACAAGTGAGGTGTCCCCCTTATATTGGATAATGAGTTGGCCATCATTAATGATAGCCACCTCATTATCCAATAGAAAGGGGACACCTCACTTGTCCTCTCTATTGGTCCCATATTTTGGATCATTGGGGAATTTTTCAGGAAAAAAACTAGGCACGAGCGACCCCAAAACTCTGGAGGGCCCAAGACAAATTAACAAAAAAAAAAAAGAGTAAATGCTGGAATGACCATTTGCTGAATACGGATACACAGTGGGTGGACCCATTAACGGCCTCAGCTGAAGCCCACAAATATCGAGAACCGAAACGAGTTCCGGTCGAAAAGACCGAGGCCTCCCCTGTGCCCTCTTTGGATCTAGGGTTTGGGTTTCACAGCTTCGACAAGAAGGGGAGCCTAACGGGAAAAAAAGACCCAGAAATGGCGGATGAAGCAAATAGAGCGGTACAATGTTTGTTTTCTTTCTCTTTATAGATCATAATCTTAATCTCTCTCTCTCTTTCAAAAGGCGTTAATGATAATTTGGGAATTCTTGTTGAGTTAGGCTTTCATGGAACTTCAAGGGCGCATGATAGAGATTACCGGCAAATTGAAGCAGGTTCCTTTATTTCATTCCGATTCCGCTTTAATTTGGGAATTCTTGTTCGCCCCGATCTGATGTATAAATTACTTAGTAGCAGCCTGAGCTAAGATTTTGTTTTTTAGTTCTCTCTGAGGGAACATTAATCTTTTTCCGGTCACTTGGTGTGATTAATTATTCGCATTTTTGTCCGGTTGCTTGTAAAGTTTTAACTCCGTAGGGCTTGTGTCAGCAAATCCCTCGAAGTTGGCTGTGTGTTTGTGTTTATGCAAGCGAACCATGTGATAGATCCTATTTAATACTTTAAGGGGGTTTAACTTAAAAAAAAAAGAAACTATGTAGTACATACACGAGTTTACTATGAAAATTCCAACTGTTGGCATGTGATATCCCTATTTACTTGGTTACACACAACATCAATAACTAATGGTCTGAGTTCATATGAGAAAAAGAAAAAAAAAAATCATCTCTTTCTCTCAGAATTGCATGCAGATAATGATCAGATTTTCTTACTTTGGTGTTGTCACTAGTCATAGTCATAACCTAAGCCGCTTGTGCTTTTAAATATGATTACAGTGCTTATGATCCGTTCCTGTTCGTAAAGTTTATAATATAATTTGGCTGGGTATCTGTTTTTTCCTTTTCTCTTTTCAGGTGCAGAATCAGATGCGTGGTAAAGAGGGAGAAAAGAAACGGGCATACCTAACACTTGAGGAACTTCGGCAATTATCGGATAGTACGAATACATATAAATCAATAGGTATGGGGAAAGTGTTTTTCTTGTTCTGATATCTAGCCTCGATGTAGCTTTAAGCCACAATTTTTTTACTGCCTATTTTGGAAGCATGCCCCAGTTTTCAATACTGTTGAGGTGCAAGATCATGCAAAATCTTGCTATGACTACTTGCATGCAAAATCTAATTGCCATGAGTACTACCGTTAACCACATTTGCATTATCGAATTAAACTGTTAGTGAAGTATTTCCTGAACCTATGACCCTATGCACACAGATGGTGATCCTTGTGATAACCTAACATCACTATATCGGGCTTTGAAGTGTCCATGCTTCTTAGCTTGCCATACTCCTAGTGAACAAGAAACAGAATCAGACAGTCAATGTAATCTGATATACCTCTCCACGTTCATCACTCAAGAACAGTTGGATTCAAATGCGCTATTGCTGTTCTGATTTCGCGATCCTTTATGCATCAGTGTTCAGTAGATATCTCACTTGTAAACTTCCCCTAATTCTGAATTTTTTAAGGTTAGATTCTTCAATTAAGATTGCAAATACCAGGAGATATAATAAGAAAACCGCATTGTTCTATCTTGCCTTTCTTTTCCTTAATACCATTTTGGCATTCCAACCAAAAGTCCTTATGTGAGTCTTCAAGTGACAGTTTTCTGCCAATTAAATGCTTGAAATCAATTTATTTTACTGACACTCGTATCTCATTTTCTAGGTATTACTAACATGACTCTTCTAAAGTCTTTCTATCATGCTCTGCCACCTTAATGTTTAGATGTAGTTCAAGACATTCGACTAAAGTCCAAGAGGTTTTTTTTTCTCCTTTGCATTCTAAGACCCACTCTCCATGCCCAATGGCCATGCATTTTTGTCTACAACAATGAATTTTTTTCCATTGTGACAAGGCACTCAAGTTTATTCTTGCATTTAGTGGCTATACGTAAACTCAAGAAAGACCGACGAATATTATTCACTTTGGGTGATAAATATTTTAATACGTTGAGGCAAAACATGTAGAAACATAGGAGATGTATTGTGCAAGTGTCTCATGGGTGTTTTCTTTCTTTTCCTGTATTTTTTCCTTAATGATCTTCCATGTATACGTCCTATGTATGTGCACCTCTCTTTCCCCTATTCTACCACATATCCTTAATTCCTTTAAATTATGCTTTTGATGTTTGATTTAGAATACACGACATTTCACTGCTTTTTTCACTATGCTTATGTCGGATATATTAGAGTGCATGTTTTTAGTATACTTTCTGTATTGCGAGTGCCCATTTCTTGTGTGACTTTGGTTATTCTTTGGTCTGTGAAACTATACATATTGATGACATCCTTGTTATTTTGCAGGAAAAGCGTGAGTATTCTTGAACTGGTACCTAATCTTTCCGTGGAAACCATATCTTTTGTAGCATTCAATTTAAAAAAATAAAAAACAATTACAGGTTCATTTTGGAGCCAAAGTCCACGTTGGTGAATGAGCAGGAACAGAAATTTAAGGACAGTGAAGCTGCTATTGCTTCTTTGCAGGTCCTGCTCTCCCAGCTCAGTTTCGTCTGAAACTATGATTAGAAGGAATTCACATTGCAGTAACTATTGTTTTTTTTTTTCTGGGTATGTAGACTTCGAAGGAGTACCTAGAGAAACAGATGGGAGAGGTGGAAAATAACCTGAGGGAATTGCTGCAGCAGGATCCAGGCATTGCGCGCCAGATTATGTCGATGTCTGTGATGTAATTCTATTTCTTCTCTTGAAGGCAGTGGTCTGAGTTGTTGGTGTCAATTTTCTTTCACAAATCTCTAGTTGGCTGTAATGATTTGTTTTTGGGTTTGCATCGACACTCGTGGACTCTTTTATTTGGGGCAACTTCAAAATTGTTTTGATCCTTTTAACTCCTTTTTATAAATCAATCTGATCTGCACACAGAAAAGTTGGGTATGTATTCGATCTCGATTGAAGTCTTTTGAATGTGCATCGCCTGTTTTTATTTTCCCTAACGAAGCTTGCTTACTGATGTGTGCTTGTTTTCCTTTCAGTTTCCGGTCGAGACGAATGCTTAAGTAGTATAGCTCTAAACTTGTCTAAAACTCACACATGATTTGATCTATGTTTAGATTTAGATGTTCAAAGCGGTGTTGTATAAAATTGGCTTGCATCCAAACGGTAAGGTCAAGCTGGCTTCTGCAGAACTATATGCCGTGCGGTCCCACTCTTGATGGTTGGTAATAACAAATGAAGCCTATTGAAGTTGTTGCCTAACTGGTTGGAGTTTGAATCAAATTATCTTGCCGTTAGACACCAGAAGATCCTCCTCTACTGCTGCTGCTGCTGCTACTGCTACTACTAGCTACAGCTGCTGTAGCTTTGACCCCGATGATAAAAAAAAACCTACCGCCCTCCCTTCATTAGTCCCGACCCTGCCTCCTCCACCCCATTCCTCTTCTTCCTCTCCTCTCTTCAATCAGTCGGAGCAAAGTAAGGGGAAAGGGATGGACGCAGCAGCTGCAGTAGAATCGGAGGAGGAGTGGGCCCTGGCCAAGAATCAGGAGTCCCTTGAGAGGAGGTCCCGTAGCTTCCCGAAATCGCTGCTAGTTTGTATTAACTATAATTGATGATATTGTGGAGCTATTCAACGGCGTGCTTCTTAAAGTGAATAAAGCTTACCATGAACATGTTGCATTGTGTCGAACCTTATGTTACTTACGGGTATTAGCAGCTTCTTTCAGCTTATATTTATTTTAATTTTTTTTTTAAACATTAGCTTAGTTCCTAAAGTTGCACCAAATGACTCTGAAAATGCACTGCTACAGCTACCCTAATCTGAGGAGTGTTAGGGAATTGATCTACGAGAGGGGATTTTGGAAAGCTGAACAAGCAGGGGACTCCTTTGACTGAGAACAGTATCATCGAACAGGTATTGTTGTTTTTAACTGTTCTCGTTTAAACTGTTACCAGAGATTTTAATTTACATGCAACGGTAAACCTTTGCTTTTCAAAAGTGAAAAGCGAATCTTCTCTGTTTGATACATCTATAAGTATGTATGTACTCAAAATTCACCCCCCACCCAGAAAAACAAGAGTCTAAATGTTAATCATGCTCCAGATAGATTAATGTGGCAGCATAGAGCATAGG